GCCATCGCGGATGGGAAGTTCGCATTCTGCCAGATAGAGTTGGACACGAAGAGCTAAGAGTACACGGCATTTACGGTACCTTATCGGCCTAATGCCTAAAAGGAGCATGGTTAGCTATATGTTCCAGAAAATCGAAGTTTTGCTTTAAATTGAAGTCAAATTAAAAGGCTTCCAGGCCAAGGTATAGAAGAACCTCGACAACTCGTACGAGCGAAGTCGCCAGCAATACGGCCAAATTTCGGACATCACTTGTTCTTAAGCGGCGCCAGCTTCAAGTAGGCGAGAAAACTGAAGTCCTTGTCCGATAATGAGATTTCAGGAATGGGAACGACCGATAAATTTAAAAGGGATCCATTCCAAGGTACAGAAGAACCTAGAATACGAGCGAAGTCGCCAAGAAGATAGAACGTTCCTTCCGAAGGCTCAACGACTTCAAAAATGTCTTCAACACTAAGTTTCCCCTTGAAGTTCCTCAAAGCTTGAATGGAGGATCTGCAAGGTCGTCGGATAGGAGTGTATCACTACAAGGTGTAACCTGAAAGGACGCACACTTCCCGGCAAGTGTGAGCTTCGTGTGGTGGAACATTTGGAACTGCACAAGAGGATTTCAGCAAGCTACTATTCAAATGCTCCCAATGATTTCGTCGAGTGGCCTGTGTTGATGTTAAGAAAGTAGGTGATCGGTTATTTTGTTTTTTTGGGCTTTTTTTGGCTATCTACCTATTTAAGCTAGGCCCGGTTCTCTATGGGGTTTTCTAGGCCTTGGATTTGTTATAACAAAATAAAAAAGTAAGAGTGATTATGAGATTATTGATAAAGTGATTCGAAATTGGTTTGGAATTTTTTCCAATTCCGTCGTTAAAAAAACTTACTTCGCCCTAACCTGTCAGTTCGTTGGGATTATCTTCGTCAAGTAGCAGCACCCAAGAGTAGCAGCACCCAAGAGCAGCAGCAGCCATTACCAGTAGCTTAGGGGCGGGTGCAATTACGATGAGTCCGTTTCGGGACTCTGCAAGAGAATTGTTAAAGAAAGATAAAATTTTAAAATAAATAATGTTTTAAATATATGATATTTAATATCTGTTGTTAACTGCGAAAAATGGTTGCCTAAGGGACTTACCTTTGAGGTAGATGAACCGGTCGTAGTAGCTCCGGCCATTGACAATGAATGGTGCCCCCAAGAATCCACTGGGGCTCCATAAAATGGGTGTGTGTCCATCTACATGTCACAATTTAGTCCAATATTTACCTTTGTTGTTGTTTGTTTACATTTGATGCCGTTAGAGATGGTTAAGTTGCACTTAATATGCGAGACGTCGATTTCCATCGATATCTAGTGTTGGGAAGTGTTGGAACATTGGGGGTACCCTGCCTTGAGCATCTAGCTAGCCGGTTCTGTCCCAAAGCAAAATTTAAGAACTTTCATAACAGAGCGATTTTTTTTCATATATAAAATAACAGTTCTCAAACAAAAAAACCTTAAAACCAAAAAAAAATTGTAATTCTTTTAGATTTTTAATGCTAAAAATAGTTAAAATCCAAATTTTTCATATTAATTTATATAAATACTTATGTAATATTTATTAATTTAAAGTTATTTATTCATGTATTTATGAATGTATTCGTCCCAGGTTCGTTATAATTGGGAGAAGGTTACAAATCAAAGGCTATGTCCAAAAAGTGGATACAAATCAGCCAGCTCCCAGCTCACCATATACTCTTTTGTTGATTGGGAATTCAAAAATGCATCAGATTCGAAAAACAAGCAAAACCCCTTTGCTAGCCCTTGATACACAGCCGTTGTAAGAATAAAATGGAATTACTGTTTTAATTAAATTAAAATCGGACATCTTTATCATATAGCTCAAATAGGAAAATCAAAAAATTAAAATAAATAAAAATGAAAAACAATGTATTTGGCTGTATTTCTATTTATTAAAATATTCCTTTGAGATATGGTAATTATTTACTATATCAGAATTACACTTTTATATATCATATACTGTGGCTCACAGCTTATTTCGTGCAGACGTAAACTTTAAACTCAAAATCATATATCTGACAAACTATATAGACTATGAACATAATTTAAATGCAGTTATATTTGGTAGTATTTTGGCATTTATTAAGGCACTTCATTATTATACCCTTGCAGAGAGTATTATAATTTCAGTCAAAAGTTTGCAACGCAGTGAAGGAGACATTTCCGACCCTATAAAGTATATATATTCTTGATCAGCATCACCAGGAGAGTCGATCTAGCCATGTCTGTCCGTCCGTCCGTTTCTACGCAAACTAGTCCCTCAGTTTCAAAGCTATCCGCTTAGAACTTTCCCAAAAATTGAAATTCTGTTCAAGGTCGCCGCCAAACATTTTGAACCAAAAAGGTTAAATTTTGACTCGTCTGCAGATAACAAAGCAAAATCAAAAAAATAATGTTTTTTCCTTGTCCCTAATACGGAGCTTTAAATCATGTTATGGCTTAGGCCTGTATGGCAGCTTCTGCTGAGGCAACCTCGTTTTTATCGATGGGATCAAGGTGAAGGCTTGCCTTGTCTAGAAAATGATCTTAAAAAGGTCCTCTAGGAAGAATGGACCAAGATTCCAAAGGAGACCACAGAAAAGATGGTTTCTTCGATGCAAACTCGATTAAAGGATGACTGAATTTTGAATACCCTTCCCAAGTTTTTTATTAAGCATATTTTAGGAATCAATCTTAAATTTTTTAAATATTATAAGCAATTTTGCTTTTATTTACGGCAACAAACTTTTCTGAAGAAACAACTTTTTGCAATTGGTATTTACTTTGTGAAAACTTGATCCCACAATTTGTAATTATTATCGTAATTATTTCATGGAAAAAGGTAATACTTTATTTATATAAAACAAGAAAGGAAAGCCAACTTCGGGCGGAGCCGAAGTTGAAATACCCTTGCAGAATATTCTGTAAATTATATTCTCCAAAATTGTTCATATGATGCATTCTTAACAGTCATAAAAAATCCAACCTTCCTAACTTTAAAAACACCAAAGTTATGGCATTTCCAATCGTTCAGTTATATGGCAGCTATAGGATATAGTCGGCCAATCCATATGAAATTTGATAAGTCGGATTGATTGGCCAAAAAAAAACACATCGACTCTCTTGGTGATGCTGATCAAGAATATATATACTTTATAGGGTCGAAAATGTCTCCTTCACTGCGTTGCAAACTTTTGACTGAAATTATAATAAGGGTATAACAACCGATACTTTTGTGGCATTCCTGATATTTACTAACCCAGAACAAAACATCATTTAGAAGTAACATTCTTTCGAACTGTAATTTTTTCTGTCCGGTAAATCCAGTCTGTCATTTTGCGTGCTTATCGAGCAGCGTTTTGCTTTCAAGCAACTTTTAATTAGAGATTAAAGTTTCTTATCAGGCGTTAACTGCAATTCATGAACGAACATTCATATAAACATATTTCATAAATGTTCGGAAAACACATTAACATTTGAGTAAATTTGATTACAAAATACTTTCTTATATTTGCGTGCCTAGTAGAATACTTTTTAAGGAACATGAACATTTGTAAATTTCTGCGGTATTAGCTTTACGACTATTATATATATATATATTACGACTATTATAGCAAAATTATTACTACCATTTAACGTATCACTAAATTCATGTCTTTCAGCTATTGTGAAAGTATGTGAGAACTAATGAAAATTATCCTTTAAAGTATAGTATTAAATGTTCAATGACTGACTCGTTGGCCTTGGTGCAAGCCGCGTTTGTATCAGTTGGGATTAGAATGCAAATAGAAGCTGCTAGGTAAAAGTAAAAATTGTTGTGGCTAATTCAATCGTATTGACACAGCACAATATAAAATGCGAAATAATATTACAGAAAACTGAGAGAAAAGAACTGATAAACATTTTGTTTATGGTAAAAGTATTTTAATTTCTTTAAGTTTTATTACACATTTAATTAAAGTAGACATCCTGAACAAAGAAAAATTCAAATTTATCAACATTAAAAGTAAATTTATTTACGTACATACTTATGTACATGCGGCTCCTTTTATCAATACAAAAATTGGCAAATACTCTAGATTTTATTGCCGCCATAAGCAGGAAAAAATCACTTTTAAAACATAACCTTAGTAGAAATAAAATATATTTATATTTCATATACAAGTAATGAGAAACATTCCTTTCATATTTGACATATATTTATATTTGGGTTACTAACATTGTATTTGAATTATCTTTCTATGTGGCAAAATTAAGGTAAGGATTTACGTTTCCTACATTATATTCAAAAAAATTAATGACGATTTCCTTCTCTCTCTATCTCCCTCGCTCTATCCCTTGCGGTCTTCCTGATTGACTGTTTATACTGACTAGATGCCTATATTCATATGTACATATGTATGAATGTTGTTCTGAAGGGAATATAAATTCTTTCGATTTTTAGGAATGTTGATATGCATTTTAATCCGCTGAGATTACTACGTCCAGTTTGATTTGTCTAAAAAACAATATGTGTAATATGTACATATTTATGCCCAAAAGCGGAACTAGCATCATAGAATTATTCATTATTTATTATGATAATAACATCCTACCATGATAATGTAAATAAATCTGTGCACTTCAATATACATATGTATGTATGTATGTATGTATGTCTTCTCAAAACTATTGAGAGTAGTAAAGGTACTGAGCTGGGGTCGAATGTGTCGAAGTCCGATTATTATGAGATAGTATAAAGTACTCGGCTTCGGCCTGAGCACCCTTCGTTAGTGATAAAGAATTGTTCTGGCACACATATCGCTCACTAAGTGTGCTCATCTTTGCTTTTATTGGTATGTGTGTATACATGGTATGCTTTTGTTGGTATGTGTGTATACATGATGTAGACTTATATACTTTGGTACTATCTACCGCTTTATATACTTAATGTCCAGATGTGTGAGTTTTCGATTTATGCGAGGTATTTAAAGTGAGTGTCTTCACGTAAGGCGGCTTAATTCGTAGTCAACGGTCATCGTATTCGTATCGAGTTCATTTTGCGGTCGGTTTATGTATTTATCAATTTGCAAAATACAAACAAAGTGAAACAATATTTGTGCTGTTTAAGGTAAAAATATACATTTTTGCTTTAGACAATATATTAGACTTTCAACAGTAAATGTTTAATACGAATTGTGATGTTCACTTTCCCCAGGCAATCCCCAAGGGGCCCAGCGCGATGGCTAGGATTAAATACAATTGCGTTTTAATTGGAATCTTCTTTAATGTGTTATTAACAATTTCCTCAAATGCCGGTAAGTTTTTGACGATAAAAAAAAACAAAGATCGAATCGCTAGATTTAAATTAATAGATACCATAGATTCCATTTATTTTTCGATTTCGATATTGTATTTTTCTCAAATACTCCTAAATACCCAAAATACCCTGTATAAGCTAAAACAACGATAACAGGTACCTTTTTATACCCTTGCAGAGGGTATTATAATTTTGGTCAAAAGTGTGCAACGCAGTGAAGGAGACATCTCCGACCCTATAAAGTATATATATTCTTGATCAGGATCACCTCCTGAGTTGATATAGCCATGTCCGTCTGTCCGTCTGTCTGTCTGTCCGTCTGTCTGTCTGTCCGTCTGTCTGTTCGTCTGTCTGTTTCTACGCAAACTAGTCTCTCAGTTTTACAGCTATCGAATTGAAACTTTGCACACACCCTTCTTTCCTTTGCACGCAGTATATAAGTCGGAACGGCCGAGATCGGCCGACTATATCCTATAGCTGCCATATAACTGATTGATCGGAAATGCCATAACTCTGCTGTTGTTAAGTTAGGAAGTTAAGACTTTCTATGGGTTTTATATTTGGCCAATCAATCCGACGTACCAAATTTCATAAGGATCGGCCGACTATATCCTATATCTGCTATATAACTGATTGATCGGAAATGCCATAACTTTGGTGTTTGTAAAGTTATGAAGTTGGGATCAGTTATATGGCAGCTATAGGATATAGTCGGCCGATCTTTATGAAATTTGGTAGGTCGGATAAATTGGCCAAATATAAAATCCATAGAAAATCCCAACATTCTAACTTTACAAACACCAAAGTTATGGCATTTCCGATCAATCAGTTATATGGAAGCTATAAGATATAGTCGGCCGATCCTTATGAAATTCGGCATGTCGGATTGATTAGCCAAATACAAAACCCATAGAAAATCCCAACTTCCTAACTTTACAAACACCAAAGTTATGGCATTTCCGATCGTTCAGTTATATGGCAGCTATAGGATATAGTCGGCCGATCCCGGCCGTTCCGACTTATATACTGCGTGCAAAGGAAAGAAGGGTGTGTGCAAAGTTTCAATTCGATATCTTTAAAACTGAGAGACTAGTTCGCGTAGAAACAGACAGACGGACAGACAGACGGACAGACAGACGGACAGACAGACGGACAGACAGACGGACAGACGGACAGACGGACATGGCTATATCAACTCAGGAGGTGATCCTGATCAAGAATATATATACTTTATAGGGTCGGAGATGTCTCCTTCACTGCGTTGCACACTTTTGACCAAAATTATAATACCCTCTGCAAGGGTATAAAAATCGTTACTCTAACTGCTAAAAATTCTATTATTCTTAATTTTTTAAAATTATTAAGTTAATGTTAAAAACAAGAAAGGAAAGCTAACTTCGAGCGAAGCCGAAGTTGATATACCCTTGCAGAATACTCTGTAAATTATATTCTCCAAAATTATTCATATGATGCATTTTTAATACTCATAAAAAATCACAACTTTCTTACTTTAAAACAAGAAAGGAAAGCTAACTTCGGGCGGAGCCGAAGTTGATATACCCTTGCAGAATACTCTGTAAATTATATTCTCCAAAATTTCATATGATGCATTCTTAATACTCATAAAAAATCCCAACTTTCTAACTTTAAAAACACCAAAGTTATGGCATTTCCAATCGTTCAGTTATATGGCAGCTATAAGATATAGTCGGCCGATCCTTATGAAATTTGGTATGTCGGATTGATTGGCCAAAAATAAAACCCATAGAAAATCCCAACTTCTTATCTTTAAAAACACCAAAGTTATGGCTTTTCCGATCGTTCAGTTATATGGCAGCTATATGATATAGTCGCCCGATCCGGCTCGTTCCGACTTATATACTACCTGCAATAGAAAGACAACTTTTGGGAAAGTTTCGAGCAGATAGCTTTAAAACTGAGGGACTAGTTTGCGTAGAAACGGACGGACAGACGGACAGACTGACAGACGGACAGACGGACGGACAGACGGACATGGCTAGATCGACTCTCCTGGTGATGCTGATCAAGAATATATATACTTTATAGGGTCGGAAATGTCTCCTTCACTGCGTTGCAAACTTTTGACTAAAAGTATAATACCCTCTGCAAGGGTATAAAAACCAAAGTTATGGCATTTCCAATCGTTCAGTTATATGGCAGCTATAGGATATAGTCGGCCGATCCTTATGAAATTTGATAGGCCGGATTGATTGGCCAAAAATAAAGCCCATAGAAAATCCCAACTTCCTAACTTAACAAACACCAAAGTTATGACATTTCCGATCAATCAGTTATATGGCAGCTAAAGGATATAGTCGGCCGATCCTTATGAAATTCGGTAGGTCGGATTGATTGGTCAAATATAAAACCCATAGGAAGTCCCAGCTTCCTAGCTTTGCAAACACCAAAGTTATGGCATTTCCAATCGTTCAGTTATATGGCAGCTATAGGATATAGTCGGCCGATCCTTGTGAAATTTGGTAGGTCGGATTGATTGGCCAAATATAAAACCCATAGGAAGTCCCAGCTTCCTTACTTTACAAACACCAAAGTTATGGCATTTCCGATCAATCAGTTATATGGCAGCTATAGGATATAGTCGGCCGATCCCGTCCGTTCCGACTTATATACTGCGTGCAAAGGAAAGAAGGGTGTGTGCAAAGTTTTAGTTCGATAGCTTTAAAACTGAGAGACTAGTTTGCGTAGAAACAGACAGACGGACAGACGGACAGACAGACGGACAGACAGACGGACAGACAGACGGACAGACGGACAGACGGACATGGCTATATCAACTCAGGAGGTGATCCTGATCAAGAATATATATACTTTATAGGGTCGGAGATGTCTCCTTCACTGCGTTGCACACTTCTGACCAAAATTATAATACCCTCTGCAAGGGTATAAATATATATTTTGTAAACATTAAAATCTTTCCTCCTGTAGTTAGAACAACAATTTTTATATCCTTGCAGAGGGTATTATAATTTCAGTCAAAAGTTTGCAACGCAGTGAAGGAGACATTTCCGACCCTATAAAGTATATATATTCTTGATCAGCATCACCAGGAGAGTCGATCTAGCCATGTCCGTCTGTCCGTCCGTCTGTCCGTCTGTCCGTCCGTTTCTACGCAAATTAGTCCCTCAGTTTTAAAGCTTCTGCTTGAAACTTTCCCAAAAGTTGTCTTTCTATTGCAGGTAGTATATAAGTCGGAACGAGCCGGATCGGGCCACTATATCATATAGCTGCCATATAACTGAACGATCGGAAATGCCATAACTTTACTGTTTTTAAAGTTAGGAAGTTGGGATTATCTATGGATTTTATTTTTGGCCAATCAGTCTGACCTTCCAAATTTCATAAGGATCGGCCGACTATATCATATAGCCGCCATATAACTGATTGATCGGAAATGCCATAACTTTGGTGTTTGTAAAGTTAGAAAGTTGGGATTATCTATGGGTTTTATTTTTGGACAATCAATCCGACCTGCAAAATTTCATAAGGATCGGCCGACCATATCCTATAGCTGCCATATAACTGAACTATTGGAAATGACATAACTTTGGTGTTTTTAAAGTTAGGAAGTAGGGATTTTTTATGAGTATTAAGAATGCATCATATGAATAACCGATCCGATTTTGGAGAATATAATTTACAGAATATTCTGCAAGGGTATATTAACTTCGGCTCCGCCCGAAGTTAGCTTTCCTTTCTTGTTATACCCTTGCAGAGGGTATTATAATTTTGGTCAAAAGTGTGCAACGCAGTGAAGGAGACATCTCCGACCATATAAAGTATATATATTCTTGATCAGGATCACCTCCTGAGTTGATATAGCCATGTCCGTCTGTCCGTCTGTCCGTCTGTCTGTCCGTCTGTCCGTCTGTCTGTTTCTACGCAAACTAGTCTCTCAGTTTTAAAGCTATCGAATTGAAACTTTGCACACACCCTTCTTTCCTTTGCACGCAGTATATAAGTCGGAACGGCCGGGATCGGCCGACTATATCCTATAGCTGCCATATAACTGATTAATCGGAAATGCCATTACTTTGGTGTTTGTAAAGTTAGGAAGCTGGGATTTACTATGGGTTTTATATTTGGCCAATCAATCCGACCTACCAAATTTCATAAGGATCGGCCGACTATATCCTATAGCTGCCATATAACTGATTGATCGGAAATGCCATAACTTTTGTGTTTGTAAAGTTAGGAAGCTGGGATTTCCTATGGGTTTTATATTTGGCCAATCAATCCGACCTACCAAATTTCATAAGGATCGGCCGACTATATTCTATAGCTGCCATATAACTGATTGATCGGAAATGCCATAACTTTGGTGTTTGTAAAGTTAGGAAGCTGGGATTTCCTATGGGTTTTATATTTGGCCAATCAATCCGACCTACCAAATTTCATAAGGATCGGCCGACTATATTCTATAGCTGCCATATAACTGATTGATCGGAAATGCCATAACTTTTGTGTTTTTAAAGTTAGAAAGTTGGGATTTTTATGAGTATTAAGAATGCATCATATGAATAATTTTGGAGAATATAATTTACAGAGTATTCTGCAAGGGTATATTAACTTCGGCTCCGCCCGAAGCTAGCTTTCCTTTCTTGTTTTCATATCAGATCGGATATGACCAGTCAAACTAGCTGTTTTTCCTAAAAGTGATAGAACAAAAATTTTTAATCGCAAGCTGCTTAATAAAAAACAAGAAAGGAAAGCTAACTTCAGGCGGAGCCGAAGTTGATATACCCTTGCAGAATACTCTGAAAATTATATTCTCCAAAATTATTCATATGATGCATTCTTAATACTCATCAAAAATCCCAACTTCCTAACTTTACAAACACCAAAGTTATGGCATTTCCGATCGTTCAGTTATATGACAGCTATAGGATATAGTCGTCCGATCCCGGCCGTTCCGACTTATATACTGCGTGCAAAGGAAAGAAGGGTGTGTGCAAAGTTTCAGTTCGATATCTTTAAAACTGAGAGACTAGTTCGCGTAGAAACAGACAGACGGACAGACGGACAGACGGACATGGCTATATCAACTCAGGAGGTGATCCTGATCAAGAATATATATACTTTATAGGGTCGGAGATGTCTCCTTCACTGCGTTGCACACTTTTGACCAAAATTATAATACCCTCTGCAAGGGTATAACAATAATCATGACCCTTAAACAACAAATTTAACAGACAAACGCCAAACAAACTCATGTTCCAGTCATAATTTTAAAACAAATTAAAAATTGTTACTATGACAATTCTGAAATCGTTTAAATTTACCTTATCTCGGAGTTAACGATATATGTTAAGACACAACGAAGTAATGATTTTATTTCCTTTTTTCCCGACTGTTGCTATGGGAGCCATATAAAGGTGAAATGTGTCCTTCACCGCGTTTGCAAATTTTTGACTGAAATTTGAATACCATAATACGAAGCAGAGATTACGTTACATACGTTAAAATGGTAATATATAACATAGAACAAATAATGGACAACTTTCCCTCAACGTCAGAATTTGATATTTAACAGGTCTTTAATTTTGATTGGGCTTTCTAGAGATGTGTAAAAATGGTTTAAACTTTTTTATACCCTTGCAGAGGGTATTATAATTTTGGTCAGAAGTGTGCAACGCAGTGAAGGAGACATCTCCGACCCTATAAAGTATATATATTCTTGATCAGGATCACCTCCTGAGTTGATATAGCCATGTCCGTCTGTCCGTCTGTCCGTCTGTCTGTCCGTCTGTCTGTCCGTCTGTCTGTTTCTACGCAAACTAGTCTCTCAGTTTTAAAGCTATCGAACTGAAACTTTGCACACACCCTTCTTTCCTTTGCACGCAGTATATAAGTCGGAACGGACGGGATCGGCCGACTATATCCTATAGCTGCCATATAACTGATTGATCGGAAATGCCATAACTTTGGTGTTTGTAAAGTAAGGAAGCTGGGACTTCCTATGGGTTTTATATTTGGCCAATCAATCCGACCTACCAAATTTCATAAGGATCGGCCGACTATATCCTATAGCTGCCATATAACTGAACGATTGGAAATGCCATAACTTTGGTGTTTGCAAAGCTAGGAAGCTGGGACTTCCTATGGGTTTTATATTTGACCAATCAATCCGACCTACCGAATTTCATAAGGATCGGCCGACTATATCCTTTAGCTGCCATATAACTGATTGATCGGAAATGTCATAACTTTGGTGTTTGTTAAGTTAGGAAGTTGGGATTTTCCATGGGCTTTATTTTTGGCCAATCAATCCGGCCTATCAAATTTCATAAGGATCGGCCGACTATATCCTATAGCGGCCATATAACTGAACGATTGGAAATGCCATAACTTTGGTTTTTTTAAAGTAAGAAAGTTGTGATTTTTTATGAGTATTAAAAATGCATCATATGAATAATTTTGGAGAAAATAATTTACAGAGTATTCTGCAAGGGTATATCGACTTCGGCTTCGCTCGAAGTTAGCTTTCCTTTCTTGTTATACCCTTGCAGAGGGTATTATAATTTTGGTCAAAAGTGTGCAACGCAGTGAAGGAGACATCTCCGACCCTATAAAGTATATATATTCTTGATCAGGATCACCTCCTGAGTTGATATAGCCATGTCCGTCTGTCCGTCTGTCCGTCTGTCCGTCTGTCCGTCTGTCCGTCTGTCCGTCTGTCTGTCCGTCTGTCTGTTTCTACGCGAACTAGTCTCTCAGTTTTAAAGATATCGAATTGAAACTTTGCACACACCCTTCTTTCCTTTGCACGCAGTATATAAGTCAGAACGGCCGGGATCGGCCAACTATATCCTATAGCTGCCATATAACTGATTGATCGGAAATGCCATAACTTTGGTGTTTGTAAAGTTAGGAAGTTGGAATTTTCTATGGGTCTTATATTTGGTCAATCAATCTGACCTACCAAATTTCATAAGGATCGGCCGACTATATCCTATAGCCGCCATATAACTGATTAATCGGAAATGCCATAACTTTGGTGTTTGTTAAGTTAGGAAGTTGGGATTTTCTATGGGTTTTATTTTTGGCCATTCAATCCGACCTACCAAATTTCATAAGGATCGGCTGACTATATCCTATAGCTGCCATATAACTGATTGATCGGAAACGCCATAACTTTGGTGTTTGTTAAGTTAGGAAGTTGGGACTTTCTATGGGTTTTATTTTTGCCCAATCAATCCGACATATCAAATTTCATAAGGATCGGCCGACTATATTCTATAGCTGTCATATAACTGAACGATTGGAAATGCCATAACTTTGGTGTTTTTAAAGTTAGGAAGTTGGGATTTTTTATGAGTATAAAGAATGCATCATATGAATAATTTTGGAGAATATAATTTACAAAGTATTCTGCAAGGGTATATCAACTTCGGCTCCGCCCGAAGTTAGCTTTCCTTTCTTGTTGAAATAATATTTTGCTTAAACTAACGTTAAATTAAAACGATTAATCATTGGGTTGAGTTAAACAAATTTGTTCATTGATATTGTCATGTGACCCTGGAAACAAGAATAAAAAGAAAGGAAAGTTTATATACCCGTGCAGTTATAAAAAACGACTACATTTCGATTTCTATATATATCCTATATTTTACCAAAAACAATGAAGCTATGTCGATTTTGCGGTTTAGATTGCCATCGTTTGACAAAACTAAAAGCGCAATTCTGAAATAGTAGATAATTACTATATCTCAAAAGATTTATTTTCATTTTTATTTTTTTGAATTTTTCGATTTTTGTACCCTTGCAGAGGGTATAATAAATTTCGTTAAAGTTAAAGTTAGGAAGCTGGGATTTTCTATGGGTTTTATATTTGGCCAATCAATCTGACCTACCAAATTTCATAAGGATCGGCCGACTATATCCTATAGCCGCCATATAACTGATTGATCGGAAATGCCATAACTTTGGCGTTTATAAAGTTAGGAATTGATTTTTTATGAGTATTAAGAATGCATCATATGAATAATTTTGGAGAATATAATTCACAGAATATTGTGATTATAAATAATACTTAGTTTAGTGCCTCGTGTGTCAATAATAAAAGACATTATTTATGGCATCCTCACCAGCAAAAAATCCTTTCTACCTCTAAATATGTGTCTTAGCTTAATTATACAAAAACTATGTTAATTTTTAACTAATATAAAAATCGTTTTTAATTGTAGAAAGCTCTTGCAATGTAGGATGTCCGAAATGTAAGTCACCTCAGATTAAAATATATTATTATGCTAACAAAGTTTCATGCCTTCTTAGCGGACGACGGACTATTGAAATACTCACCTGGAAGCTTTTATGAATATTCCTTCGACAGTATTTTAACTATTGGACTGAGCAGCGGTGCCCTTAGTGAATCAGATGATACCAGCCTTAAAGTCTCCGGGTCCGCAAAAATTTTTTCGAAAGGAAATTGTGGGTATACGTTACAGCTAAGTGCTGTTAAAGTAACCAATACCAAGGAGTCTGTAGAGAAAAATATTTTGAATAGCATTCAGAAGCCAGTGCATTTCACACTGGCAAGTGGACTTTTAGAACCACAAATTTGCTCGGACTCTAGTGATTTGGACTACTCTCTGAATATAAAGCGTGCATTTATATCATTGTTGCAATCGGGAATAAAAACGGAACATGAAGTTGACGTATTTGGCCAGTGCCCTACACATACATCATTATCTAAAGTAGGTAATGCGAACATAATAACGAAAGTTCGTAACTTAAACAGCTGTGCCCATCGTGAGCAAATTAACAGTGGTCTGGTGTCCGGGAAAGTAAACGAGAAAGCTGGCATCACGTCCAGCCTGCTTTTACAGGCAAACTATATTAAGGAGTCGAAAATTGTAAACAGTCTCATTGAAAATGTCCAACTGACAGAGACATACAAGTTCATTGGGACCACTAAGGGAAATTCTGATATCAGTGCAAAGGTAGTCACAACAATTAAACTTAAAAATCCTACCGGTACCAAAGCCAACGCACCATCTACTGGATCTACTGTCAGGAGCGTGATTTTTCAAAGACCCGAAACCTACACTTCCAAAAATTTTAACGCGTTGAAAACGGTATTATCTGATCTTGTGGATTCAACTGGCGATTATGTGAAAAAAGGGAGCGCAAAGAAGTTCGTTGAGTTTATTAGATTGCTCCGTCAATCTGATAGTGAGACTTTATTAGAACTGGCAGCATTTCCTCATCCCAACAAGGTCTTGGCTCGCAAGGTATACTTGGATGGGTTATTCCGCACCGGGACTGCAGAGTCAGCTCGAGTTATATTGAAACAGCTCCCTAAATTCGATGAGAAGGAGAAATTACTTGCAATATTGTCCTTAAACTTAGTTAAGATTGTGGATAAGGAAACTCTTAATCAAGCGGCTGCTCAGCTGTTACCCAACGCGCCAAAGGAATTATATTTATCTGTCGGTAGTCTGGTTGCTAAATTTTGTTCTGGAAAGAATTGTCGAGGACCAGAAATTGAGGCCATATCTAAAAAGTTTTCGGATGGCCTAAAACACTGCAAGCCAAACACTAAAAAGGAAGAGGAACGTATAGTGTATATTTTAAAAGGAATTGGAAATGCAAAGAGCTTAGGTGGCAATACGGCTGCTTCCCTTAGTGAGTGCGCCTCCACAGGCCGATCTAATCGCATTCGAGTCGCAGCTTTGCAAGCATTTTCCACCATTAAATGCGATGGAACGCTGCAAGCTAAGTCCTTGGAATTGCTCAAGAACCACAACGAAGATTCTGAGTTGCGCATTGAAGCGTACTTGTCGGCGATTTCATGTCCCAACGCAGAGGTGGCTAACCAAATTTCAGAAATAGTCAATTCAGAAACCGTTAACCAAGTTGGATCCTTTATTTCATCAAATTTAAAGGCCATTCGGGACTCAACGGACGAAAGCCGGGAGCTCCAAAGGTATCACTTAGCTAACATTCGAGTAACCAAGAAGTTTCCCGCCGACTTTAGGCGTTATAGTTTCAATAATGAGATTTCCTACAAACTTGAATCCCTTGGCTTTGGAGCCAGCTCTGATTACCAATTAATATACTCGCAACATGGGTTCTTGCCCCGATCGTCTCGTGTTAATGTTACAACTGAAATTTTCGGCACTAACTTCAACGTATTTGAGGCAAGCGTGCGTCAAGAAAATTTTGAGAATGTCTTGGAATACTATCTAGGGCCCAAAGGATTGCTTAACAAAGACCTTGACGATATTGTTAATCGCATTGAAGTTGGAAACAACGAAGCTGCTGGAGCTGGTGGTCGAGCCAGGCGCTCAATTGTCGACGATGTTACTAAGACTTCGAAAAAGTATAAAACTTATGGAAGCAAAAATGTGCAAGATCTCAATTTAGACATATCGTTAAAGCTGTTTGGTTCGGAATTGACGTTTTTAAGCCTAGGCGACAACATACCAAGTACACTAGATGACATCATAAATTATTTTTCAACTTCATTTGAAAAAGCCAAACAAGAATTGTCTTCCTTTGAAAAGCAACTTTCCGCCCATCATTTATTCCTTGATACAGACCTCTCTTATCCAACGAGCATTGGAGTACCTCTGGAACTCGTAGCACAAGGCTTTGTAGCTACCAAAATTGATATTGCCGGTAATCTAAATATCAATGCAATTTTCGAACAGAACTGGCAGACAGAGAAATATAGATTAAAGGTTGTCCCAAGTGTTGATGTTAATGTCAACATTCAGGTGGGATTCAATGCTCAAGTGCTGTCCACTGGCCTCCGCGTTGTTTCAACGGCGCATTCCGCGACTGGAAACGATGTAACCTTCGCCGTCATCAAAGATGGTGAAGGCTTTAATGTCGACGTTGAACTACCACGCGAAAAACTTGAGCTTATTGATGTCAAAATTGACACTGAACTGTATGTAGCAGAACAAGATAAGCAAAAAACAGTTGCTCTTAAGGGTAACAAAAAAATTAAGACTTCTCAGCCTAGTGAAATATGCTTCAATCAATTGGAAGTTGTTGGCTTAAACATATGCATTGAGAGTTCAACGAGCTTAAGTGAATTCCAAGCTGGTAACGGTAATGGTGCAGAAAGGGGACTTGCTGTTTCGGACCAATTTCATTTATCTAAGCCAATTAGTTTTGCTGTTTACTTGACGGCTGAACGCAAATTTACATTAAAAGGAGTGCATACAAATGAACCTTCCGGCAGCCAGAAGTGGAAATTGGACTATTCCACTCCTGGTTCTAAAGTTTCTCACGACACTAGTGTTGCTTTCGAGCTCGGATCTAAGCCAAGGACTTTTGGTAGATTATCTTTCGATAATTCTCAATACCACTTTGGAGTTGAAGCAGGAATAAACGACGACAATAGCGAATTGGTTGTATATGGTCAGTACGAACAAGATAAAGACATCAAGAAAAGTAAAATTGGACTTAGCAAGCACGGAAACGAATATAAGCCCTTAATTGAAATCCATGACAGTAATGGCATTTCAAACAGCATCAATGGGTACCGAGCTGATGGAAAAATAGTTGTTAAAAAAAGCAACGGTAACCTAGAAAGATATAGTTTTGAAAATTTTAAATTGTCAAATGCAAATAATGCTGGCATAACTATTAATGGATGGACGGATGTTGGACCAAGTTCATTAAACTCTGAGCTTCAAATCGCTTCGGAACAGGAGGTATTCTTGATAAAGGGCAATTACAAGTTGGAAAATGGTCAGTATGCGGCAGGATTCTTTATAAATGATGCACGAACTCCCGAAATTGTCTATGGAAGCTCCGTACAGTTGACGGTCGCTGAACAGTCTTATGGTCTTAAAGTAAATGGAAAATTAGCTGCTTGGTCCATTGGTACTAATGTCGGTTTTGATTTCCAAAAAGACGATAATTCCAATACTTTACGTTCAGTGTCATTTGTGCAAAGTGTGGAAGCTCAGCATAAAAACAAGCAAGTTGGAGCTGTAAACGTTAAATCAACTTTTGATGAAAATAAATTGGATCTCGATGTGGAAATTTTGAGAGAGCAAAAGGTTGGTTCACTAAACTTGAAATACAAAAGCAATCAGCGTCACGTACGAGACTATTCTCTAGAGGCGAGTGCAAAGCTTAACAAACACTCTATCGATGTTGTATCAAAGTGCGATTTTAACGGAAACGTTTTTACTGTCGACAACACTATCACAACTAGTTGGGGAACATTGTTAACTGCCAAGGGTGAATTAGGCCAACGTTACACTGCTCAGGACATCCGTATTGATCTTCAAGGTAACATTCAAATTACTGGAAAGGACAAATCTTCTCAGTGGATATTGAAAGTTATCGGCACACCTGATAAAACCAACAGCGAGTTCAGGATTAGCCGAGATGCAGCTGAGCTTGTCAAATTTACCAGTGAGTCCCTACATCCACAGGACAAAATTTCCGCAGCTAAGCTGAACCTGATTGTCAAGAATCTATTAACTGCTAAAGGTGATTTTCGCGTGGCGAAAAATGGCAAGGGTGACTTAACAGCCACTTTTGAGACTCAGAAGACTGAACTGAAGCATAAACTAGAAGTTGAATCCAAATTCCACATACAGGCTCCCAAATACGATATTGATACAAACATATCGCTCGATGGAGAAAAAATTCATTTTAAGACTGAAAACACCTTAGATAAGTTAAAGTTTTCTACTAAAAATGTTGGTGAGTCCAATGGCAAAAGAATTGTTTTTGAGGCTAATGCGAGTGTTAAAGGCGAATTGCGAGCAAATGGAGAAATTCAAGGTGATTTTACATTAACGACTCCTGATGGACGAATCATAAATGGTAGTGTCAATCGTAAGTTATCGACAAACGCAAAAACTGGAATAGCCCAAGGCAATGTGGATGCTCAGATAAGTGACACGCCATCTGGCAGTAATAAAAAACGATCGATTACACTGAAAGGAAAGGTCGATCGCCTGAATCTAAAAACAAAAGAATTTTCTGCAAACAGCAACGTTGTATACACTAGTTTTGATGGTGAAAAGTCAGAGCTAAGCTTCCAAATTAAGCAGCAACCTAACGGAGAAGCTAAAGACTTGGATTTCAGCTTCAAAGCGAATGGCAAACCACTAAACCAACCCATTGACGTGGCCATTGTAATAGGCGAGTACAGTGTACAACATGCTGTGGTTACTATTACAAGTAAGTATGGTGAGCTTTTCTCAGTTAGTGCAAATGGAAATTACAATAGCAAGCAAAGCAATTTACCAGCTACTTACGAGCTTCAAGCTGATATCAAAATACCAAAATCCAGCCTAAAGTTTGTGGAAATTAAAAGTCATGGAAAACTACTGAAACCATCAGCAGGCAATGAGAACCGTGTTTACAATATTGAATTTTTCGTGGATTCAAAAACCGGTCAGGGACAATTTGCCCGCATCAACACAGTATGGAACGGCACACCAAATGACGGAAGTTATAATTTTGAAGCTCAAACTAATAATATGGAATCTCCATTAAAATTCAATGGTAACTATCAGCAGGACCAAAGTGGCAGCTTAAAAGATGGTGACCTCAACGCTAAGCAAAAGTACATCTTTAACGCCCAGTACGGAAAGGAATTTGTGAAGACGGATGTATCCTTGACTTATAATGCTGATAAAGTGGACCTAGTGTATGTGCTGGATTCCAGCTTTGAATCAGTCAAAGACATCCAGGTCGATATCCGTTCTTTTAAGTCAGTGGATGATTCGTCGTACGTATTTAACGTTCAAGCCAAACAAGCTGATAAGTCATACCGATTAGACACAAAATTATATCGTTCGGCACATAAAAAAGGTGTTGATATTCGTTTGGATTTATTAAAAGAAAAGCCGATTATTATAACGAGCATTGCCGAAATATTAGGAGAGCGAAAGGGAAAGGTAATCTTAGATATACAAAACTTGGCCGAACTGGATATTAAATTCAGCAGTGAAGCTTCTTACGTCAGCATTGACGATTTTTATATTGTTGGCAGCTGGAGCTCAAAGAAATTAAAGCTCGATAGCTATGAACTTGATGCACGAGCACAAGGTAAGAACCTTAAAATCAACCTTAAGAATGTGAATGGCGTAGTTTTCTTAGGCACAGCCACCTATGCCCTTAAAAAGGAACAAAATAAGTCTATCATCGATGGTCAAGGACAAGTGCAGTATCAAGGAAAATCACATTCTGGTAATTTTAAGTTGATTACGCAAAATTTTGACATTAATACAGACAAAGAGATTGGCTTCTCGTATACATTTAATGGTAATTTTGGTACCAAAAACGGCCTATCCACAATTAAAATTACAAACAAAGAATTTAACACAAAGTTTTCTATTTGCGAAGAAAAGAAGCAGTGCACAAACATTCAAGTGCAATCTCTCGTAAGCATAGATGAACAAAAACTGGATGATGTGAAATATTCCACCCTCATTCTTGTTGACCTACGTGAGCTTGGATATCCATATGAATTTGAGCTTAAGTCTCAGAATACACGCCAAGGATTTAAGTACCAATACCATCTAGACAGCTTCATTATTACCGGGAAGAATTTCAAGTACCAACTCACAGCAAACGTTCAGCCCACGTCATCCATTATAAAACTAACATTGCCAAAGCGTCAAATTGTGTTTGAAACCACGCAGCAGATCCCAGCAGATGGAAAAATATTTGGGCACTATGAGCAATCAGCTTCGTTCTTTATTGATAAACTGCACAGACCCGATGATGTTGCTCGCGTTTCTGCTATTTTAGACTTATCGGAAATCATTGAGAACATTGCTTTCAATGCCAATGGCGAGCTTAAACTTGAACATCCGACTATTCGACCATTAAGTATTTCTGGGCGACTAAATACTAATATTGATCAATTAGCAATAGCAAATGCTGAAATAATATTTGATATTTTCCGATTGCCTGAACAAAAGGTTATTGGAAACAGCGAATTACGCAATCCCCCGTCTAAAAATGGTTTCAATTTCTCTTCTACTACAACTGTGAAGTCTGCCGGACTTGACTTCCAGTATCAACTAAGCACCAATGCGGCAATCGATATTAAAGCCCAGGAGTACAATCTTGGTCTGGATTTCAATAGCGGCGACGTCAATGTAAAGGCTCTATCCCTTTTAAATTCTGAAAAATTAGAAATCTCTTTAAGTGAATCAAGCAAACAGATAATTCGAATTGTCGGAGACTTTAATAAGCAAAAACGCTACGCCAAGTTCAATACTAAGTTCCAAGTTCTTGATAAAAATCCAATAGAAATTACAAGTGAGTTTCAACCCAATTCTGCTAGGATTTCTCTGAAGCGCCCAGATTTTATCGATGGTAGTGCAGAAATCAAATTGGGCAAAGAATTGAAATTCGATGTTTCTGGCAGCGGCAAACAATTATTCAATGGACGCGTGGCTTTAGATGCAGCCAACTTGTTGCAAACCAACTATGTGATAAATGAAGAAAACGTCAATGCCTTCTTGGTAAGAATAATTAAATGAAATCATTTCTTAAACTATATATATAAATTTTTCTTTTACCAGGAAAATGTTAAAACGGAGGTAAACAAAGACACTGAATATTTTGCTAAAAATATCAAGGAAAAAATCGAAAAACTTCGACTAGCCACAGACGAAAATGTTAAATTGGCTAGAGATGCTTCCCCAGATTTCTCGAAACTGAAAGGTAGATTGGTCGACAACACAAAGGGACTCATTCAAGACCTTGAAGCCGATCCATCAATCGCACCGATAATTAATGGCATGTAAGTAAATTTTGCGAGTTCATGTTTATCCAAATATAAATGTTTCCTTATTTGTCTAGACGCACCTTATTTGATAAAATTTCTGGTATAATTGATGAGCTAAGCAAGGCAATATCAGAAACATTCGAAAAAGTACACAACTCGTTGGTTGAAACCTATGATAAGCTGCAAGCTCTTTGGAAGGACTCCCTCCTTAAAGCGTGGGAGGATTTTATTTTAACTGCAAACAAAGTAATTGGTCAGCTGCATAATGAGATTATCAGGATTTACACACAGACATTTAAAAACATTCTTTCTCTGCTGGAGAAGTACGGACCAGCTCTGAAAAACTATGGAAAAGCCATTGCTGAAATTTTGAAGCCAATCAACGATGCAGTTGAAGAAGTAATCAAAGTCGTGGTTCACTCGGCTGAAGGTTTAGTCGATGAATTCAAGCAGTATTTGGCGAAGCTTCCGACATTTGAAAGCATATGTAGAGAGTTTAATGGCAAAGTTCAAAATTTAAAACTTATTGAAAAGGTTATTGACTTTGTGAATAGTCTTTTTGAGCAGTTAAATATTTTACCACAGACTCAGGAGACCACTGAGTTCCTACAAAAACTGCACGGCTATTTAGACGCAAAACTAAAAAAACAAAAAATCAATGATGAAAAGTCTCTTGAAGAACTTGGAAAGCTCTTACTAAATGCCGTGCGCTCGATTTGGATCTCGATTAAAAGCGCTGCTCCAGGTCCATCCGCACATGCGATTGATTTACAAACATGGTTTGGTTCTCTTGCTCATTCTGTAGATTCCTTGTCTGTTCTTCCGACCATCCTATCATTCCGTTCCAGTACCATAAACTATCTGCTGAATGAGACTTGGGATGCTGCATTCTTCAAGAATTTACTGAAGTCATGGATATTTTTCAATGACTTTGAGCTTCGGGGCCATGTCGTTGATGGTCAGCATGTATTTACTTTTGATGGTCAAAATTACGCTTACCCTGGAAATTGCAAATATATACTGGCCCAGGACAGTGTGGACAACAACTTTACTTTAATTGGTCAGCTATCAAATGGAAAACTTAAGGGCATCACGCTCGTAGATCGTGATGGTAACTATGCCGAAGTAGCCGATAATCTCGCGCTAAAAATAAATGGAAGCCCAGTTGAATACCCACAACACTTGTCTGGTCTTCACGCATGGCGTAAATATTACACCGTCCACTTACATTCTGAGTATGGAGTGAGTGTATTGTGTACTACAGATTTAAAGGTATGCCATTTCAACGTAAATGGATTTTACACAAGCAAGACACGAGGACTACTTGGCAACGGCAACGCTGAACCATACGATGACTTCTTGCGAGTTGATGGGACAATAGCCGCAGACTCAGCCGCATTAGGTAACGATTACGGAGTTGGAAAATGCGCAGCAGTTTTATTCAACAATGACCAAGTCGATAGCCAAAAACGAGATGAAATATGTAGTGAACTATTTGGCATTGAGTCACCACTTGCTATTCATTATATTACCGTGGACTCTAGACCTTACCGCAAGGCGTGTGACATCTCTCTTGCAAAAGTGGCTGAAAAGGATAAGGAGGCAACTGCTTGTACATTTGCCTTAGCTTATGGTTCCGCTGTTAAGCAGATAAACAGATGGGTGCTTTTACCGCCGCGTTGCATTAAATGTGGTGGTCCTGTTGGACAGCGCGATTTTGGAGATGAGTTTACTGTGAAATTACCAAACACCAAAGCGGACGTTGTATTCGTCGTTGATGTCAATGTTGCACCCTCAGTTCTGTCCAATCTAATAGCACCTGTAGTCAATGAAATTCGCGAATCACTTAGAAGCCGTGGCTTTTCAGATGTGCAAGTCGGAGTTGTTGTATTTGACGAATCTAAGAGATATCCCGCCCTTCTTACAAGTGATAATGGTAAAATCAACTACAAGGGAAACCTTGCAAATGTTAAGCTAAATGGAGTGAAGAACTTCTGTGACAATTGCGTTGAGCAAATCATAGGAGACAAAAGAATCCTGGATATTTACAATTCACTGAAAGAAATTTTCAAAGGCATTGCACCTCAAGCAGATGAAAAGGCGTTCCAATTAGCTTTAGATTATCCATTCCGGGCTGGTGCTGCAAAGAGCATTATCGGTGTGCGAAGTGATTCTCTGGAATATAAAAATTGGGTAAGCAACGACTTTTTGGTTTTAAAATGAATCTTCATAATATTTGATTGAAATAATTTTTGTGTTCTTTAAGTGGAAGTTTGTTAGAGCTCAATTGACCGGATCCGTTACTAAGTTTGATGGTGCGCTTCTTCATCTTATTGCACCAGTAAAGGCGCTTGTCTTAGAAGGAGTGCCAGCCGAAAAACTAATCGGTAGGAATTTAAATTGGTATTTATTCAGTACAAATGTGTAACCTTTTTATTTTTACAGGCTTCAACTCTCGTCTGGTAGCTACTGTAGATGGAAAGGATAACAAGAAGCGAACCAAGCTGCAATTCGATAATGACATGGGTATTGATTTTGTCCTCAATAACGGTGGTTGGGTGTTTGCAACACAAAACTTTGAAAAGTTTAAAGAATCGGACCAAAAGAAAATGTTGAACCAGATCACATCTTCAATTGCTGATACTCTTTTCAAGACCGAAATTGTTAGTGACTGTCGCTGTCAGCCGAGTCATGGATTGCACGGCCAACATAAATGCGTTATTAAATCATCGACATTTGTTGCGACCAAAAAGCCAAAAGCTGCCTAAAATAGTTTCAAGCTTGACATTGATTCCCATATTTGTTAGATGAAAATTTATCTTAAATATAAGTCATCGAAAAAAATAATAAAAACATAAGAACAATTTTCAATATTTATAAAAATGTGGCTTAAAACCCAATTACCAATTAATACCTCTCACTCGCTCAGGATGAATAGACGAGTTGATCTACCCGAACATGGGGGTAGACAGACACCCGTCCATCCGTAGTGATGCATTTGTACAATATATATTCCCGCTTCCTGGTTCATATTGCTGGGGCAGCTGGAATATGGTTAGGAAGGGTGTGATTTGCAAAATTTTTGGAGTGTTACTAGATATTGACTGAATACTAATTAGTGCTTGTCCTGGCATATTCTGGCCTCTACGATGTGATTCCCAGATTTAGCTATTGAAGTTTTCAAAACTTCGACGTTTATATGGACAGACGAATATAGACTATGCAATTGATCCTGTTCAACAATATATGTACTTTATAGGATCGGAAAAGTTTCCTTTTACTCTACGAGTAAATAAACTTGTATATTGAAGTTGACCCAATCTACAATCTTCAATATATACTGCCCCATAAAATCATAATAGACCTGTACATTACGCGAATTGACAGGAATATGAACAAATGAAAACCAATTGATGAAAAGTCTCTTGAAGAACTTGGAAAGCTCTTACTAAATGCCGTGCGCTCGATTTGGATCTCGATTAAAAGCGCTGCTCCAGGTCCATCCGCACATGCGATTGATTTACAAACATGGTTTGGTTCTCTTGCTCATTCTGTAGATTCCTTGTCTGTTCTTCCGACCATCCTATCATTCCGTTCCAGTACCATAAACTATCTGCTGAATGAGACTTGGGATGCTGCATTCTTCAAGAATTTACTGAAGTCATGGATATTTTTCAATGACTTTGAGCTTCGGGGCCATGTCGTTGATGGTCAGCATGTATTTACTTTTGATGGTCAAAATTACGCTTACCCTGGAAATTGCAAATATATACTGGCCCAGGACAGTGTGGACAACAACTTTACTTTAATTGGTCAGCTATCAAATGGAAAACTTAAGGGCATCACGCTCGTAGATCGTGATGGTAACTATGCCGAAGTAGCCGATAATCTCGCGCTAAAAATAAATGGAAGCCCAGTTGAATACCCACAACACTTGTCTGGTCTTCACGCATGGCGTAAATATTACACCGTCCACTTACATTCTGAGTATGGAGTGAGTGTATTGTGTACTACAGATTTAAAGGTATGCCATTTCAACGTAAATGGATTTTACACAAGCAAGACACGAGGACTACTTGGCAACGGCAACGCTGAACCATACGATGACTTCTTGCGAGTTGATGGGACAATAGCCGCAGACTCAGCCGCATTAGGTAACGATTACGGAGTTGGAAAATGCGCAGTAGTTTTATTCAACAATGACCAAGTCGATAGCCAAAAACGAGATGAAATATGTAGTGAACTATTTGGCATTGAGTCACCACTTGCTATTCATTATATTACCGTGGACTCTAGACCTTACCGCAAGGCGTGTGACATCTCTCTTGCAAAAGTGGCTGAAAAGGATAAGGAGGCAACTGCTTGTACATTTGCCTTAGCTTATGGTTCCGCTGTTAAGCAGATAAACAGATGGGTGCTTTTACCGCCGCGTTGCATTAAATGTGGTGGTCCTGTTGGACAGCGCGATTTTGGAGATGAGTTTACTGTGAAATTACCAAACACCAAAGCGGACGTTGTATTCGTCGTTGATGTCAATGTTGCACCCTCAGTTCTGTCCAATCTAATAGCACCTGTAGTCAATGAAATTCGCGAATCACTTAGAAGCCGTGGCTTTTCAGATGTGCAAGTCGGAGTTGTTGTATTTGACGAATCTAAGAGATATCCCGCCCTTCTTACAAGTGATAATGGTAAAATCAACTACAAGGGAAACCTTGCAAATGTTAAGCTAAATGGAGTGAAGAACTTCTGTGACAATTGCGTTGAGCAAATCATAGGAGACAAAAGAATCCTGGATATTTACAATTCACTGAAAGAAATTTTCAAAGGCATTGCACCTCAAGCAGATGAAAAGGCGTTCCAATTAGCTTTAGATTATCCATTCCGGGCTGGTGCTGCAAAGAGCATTATCGGTGTGCGAAGTGATTCTCTGGAATATAAAAATTGGGTAAGCAACGACTTTTTGGTTTTAAAATGAATCTTCATAATATTTGATTGAAATAATTTTTGTGTTCTTTAAGTGGAAGTTTGTTAGAGCTCAATTGACCGGATCCGTTACTAAGTTTGATGGTGCGCTTCTTCATCTTATTGCACCAGTAAAGGCGCTTGTCTTAGAAGGAGTGCCAGCCGAAAAACTAATCGGTAGGAATTTAAATTGGTATTTATTCAGTACAAATGTGTAACCTTTTTATTTTTACAGGCTTCAACTCTCGTCTGGTAGCTACTGTAGATGGAAAGGATAACAAGAAGCGAACCAAGCTGCAATTCGATAATGACATGGGTATTGATTTTGTCCTCAATAACGGTGGTTGGGTGTTTGCAACACAAAACTTTGAAAAGTTTAAAGAATCGGACCAAAAGAAAATGTTGAACCAGATCACATCTTCAATTGCTGATACTCTTTTCAAGACCGAAATTGTTAGTGACTGTCGCTGTCAGCCGAGTCATGGATTGCACGGCCAACATAAATGCGTTATTAAATCATCGACATTTGTTGAGACCAAAAAGCCAAAAGCTGCCTAAAATAGTTTCAAGCTTGACATTGATTCCCATATTTGTTAGATGAAAATTTACCTTAAATATAAGTCATCGAAAAAAATAATAAAAACATAAGAACAATTTTCAATATTTATAAAAATGTGGCTTAAAACCCAATTACCAATTAATACCTCTCACTCGCTCAGGATGAATAGACGAGTTGATCTACCCGAACATGGGGGTAGACAGACACCCGTCCATCCGTAGTGATGCATTTGTACAATATATATTCCCGCTTCCTGGTTCATATTGCTGGGGCAGCTGGAATATGGTTAGGAAGGGTGTGATTTGCAAAATTTTTGGAGTGTTACTAGATATTGACTGAATACTAATTAGTGCTTGTCCTGGCATATTCTGGCCTCTACGATGTGATTCCCAGATTTAGCTATTGAAGTTTTCAAAACTTCGACGTTTATATGGACAGACGAATATAGACTATGCAATTGATCCTGTTCAACAATATATGTACTTTATAGGATCGGAAAAGTTTCCTTTTACTCTACGAGTAAATAAACTTGTATATTGAAGTTGACCCAATCTACAATCTTCAATATATACTGCCCCATAAAATCATAATAGACCTGTACATTACGCGAATTGACAGGAATATGAACAAATGAAAACCAATTGCACTCTACGCGTTGGGACATCCAACTATTCTTAGTTCAGAAATTAGTGCCCAACATACCTCTGAAAATACATCCCAGTTGCCTTATTTTTTATTTTTTTTATTTTTTTATTTGTAAACATGGAACCCGTACAATCTATAAGTACCTTAATAATGTAGTTTTGTTTATTAATTTGAAACAAACCTCATGCCATCAGCAAAAGTACTTTCGTGGAGATCATATTTATGGAAGTCTTGTTTTAACAATTCCAAGCCTCTTGAGCCGTCTGAGCGGCAGGTGCGTTCTTGCGACCAGGTTCCGATGACTAAGGAGTCGTTCCCTGTACCTGCTGGTGTGTAGGGCAATTTGTTGCTCCATGTGGATATTTAGGTCCTTGAGGAGGGTGGACTCACGCACAAGGGCAATTCGTTATCACCCTCACTGCGAGGTTTTGCAGCACTTGGATGCGTTTGTAGTTCGATTTGGTTGCGATCCTCCATATTTGTATGGCTATTTAGTGGACATACACAGCTCTCTTTGCCCTCAGCGACATGGTACTCCTTTCGTTGACCAGCCATCGCAATTGTTGCATCCTTTGTCCTCACTTTTTTTCACGGCTTTCAGGTGCGGCTCAAAAATAAGTCCCAATTGCCTAATAGAGTAAAATCAATGCTGGTAGCGATACAGCAAAATATTCGCGATTAAAACAAAATCTAAAACAAAAATCTGCTAGCATGTTATATTTCTTTTTTTCGTTCTGGAATGTCAATATCAGCACAAATACGAGTTTTGCAGTTGCATGAAATATACGCCATGCTCATATCAGAGCCTTACGTAACAAATAAAAATTATTTTAATCTTAATGGCTATAAATTTTATATTTTAAATATAAACAATATTCTAACTTTTAAAAAAAAGGTCCAGCCTCAGAACGCATTTGTCAGCAGAAAAGCTCTGACCAATCCAAATTAATTAAACAATAGATGCAGCCTAGAAACCATTTTATCAGGCCACAGTTTTGACCAATCCAAACTCTCTAATCAAAGTTCACTTTCGCTGTTCGCATCGCTGTCCCCGCTAAAAGCCATAGTTATAAGAATAATGCAAAATCAGTTTGACATTGGGAATCTAACTGTAAAGATACTTACCAAATAAAATAAAAATCGATTTTTTTTAATATATCCCGAAGTGAAAAACATAATTGGCGCAGCCGGTGGGATACAAGTAATATCCTCGCGAGTGACTACCACATGACTACTAACATTATTTTTGTGTGTGCAAACCGAACTTAACTAAAAACAAGAAAGGAAAGCTAACTTCGGGCGGAGCCGAAGTTAATATACCCTTGCAGAATACTCTGTAAATTATATTCTCCAAAATTATTCATATGATGCATTCTTAATACTCATAAAAATCCCAACTTTCTAACTTTAAAAACACAAAAGTTATGGCATTTCCGATCAATCAGTTATATGGCAGCTATAGAATATAGTCGGCGGATCCTTATGAAATTTGGTAGGTCGGATTGATTGGCCAAATATAAAACCCATAGGAAATCCCAGCTTCCTAACTTTACAAACACAAAAGTTATGGCATTTCCGATCAATCAGTTATATGGCAGCTATAGGATATAGTCGGGCGATCCTTATGAAATTTGGTAGGTCGGATTGATTGGCCAAATATAAAACCCATAGTAAATCCCAGCTTCCTAACTTTACAAACACCAAAGTAATGGCATTTCCGATTAATCAGTTATATGGCAGCTATAGGATATAGTCGGCCGATCCCGGCCGTTCCGACTTATATACTGCGTGCAAAGGAAAGAAGGGTGTGTGCAAAGTTTCAATTCGATAGCTTTAAAACTGAGAGACTAGTTTGCGTAGAAACAGACAGACGGACAGACGGACAGACAGACGGACAGACGGACAGACGGACATGGCTATATCAACTCAGGAGGTGATCCTGATCAAGAATATATATACTTTATATGGTTGGAGATGTCTCCTTCACTGCGTTGCACACTTTTGACCAAAATTATAATACCCTCTGCAAGGGTATAACAAGAAAGGAAAGCTAACTTCGGGCGGAGCCGAAGTTGATATACCCTTGCAGAATACTCTGTATATTATATTCTCCAAAATTATTCATTTGATGCATTCTTAATACTTATAAAATATCCCAACTTCCTAACTTTAAGAACACAAAAGTTATGGCATTTCCGATCGTTCAGTTATATGGCAGCTATAGGATATAGTCGGCCGATCCTTATGAAATTTGATAGGTCGGATTGATTGGCCAAAAATAAAAGCCATAGAAAATCCCAACTTCCTAACTTAACAAACACCAAAGTTATGGCATTTCCGATCAATCAGTTATATGATTCCGGCCGTTCCGACTTATATACTGCGTGCAAAGGAAAGAAGGGTGTGTGCAAAGTTTCAATTCGATAGCTTTAAAACTGAGAGACTAGTTTGCGTAGAAACAGACAGACGGACAGACAGACGGACAGACGGACATGGCTATATCTACTCAGGAGGTGATCCTGATCAAGAATATATATACTTTATAGGTATATAGATGTCTCCTTCACTGCGTTGTACACTTTTGACCAAAATTATAATACCCTCTGCAAGGGTATAACAAGAAAGGAAGCAAACTACGGCAAGCCGAAATTTATATACCCTTGCCGTTAAATCTACTACATTTCGATTTCTATGCCTATATTACTAAAAACGATGAAGCTGTGTCGATTTTGGACTTCATTTTGCAATTGTTTCTATGGCACCTATATGATGTTGTTGTCCGATTTTAAATGAAACATGAAGAGTTCAGTTATTGTAAAACACGGTGTGCAAAGTTTCAATTCGATATCTTTAAAACTGAGAGACTAGTTCACGTAGAAACAGACAGACGGACAGACAGACGGACAGACAGACGGACAGACAGACGGACAGACGGACATGCTTATATCAACTCAGGAGGTGATCCTGATCAAGAATATATATACTTTATAGGGTCGGAGATGTCTCCTTCACTGCGTTGCACACTTTTGACCAAAATTATAATACCCTCTGCAAGGGTATAAAAAGCGTTCCCTGATTAAGATTCGGGTTCTGCCGTGAGCCTTAACATTCGGATGATCTGTGCAATACAAAGTGTAACCTCTTATTTGGATGTTGTATTTGCTTGTGAGATGCTTTTCTGCCAGCAGCATTACGTCTATGTGGTTTTCATTGAAGAATTGAGTTATTTCAAGTTGGTGCCGTGAAACGCCATTGGCATTCCACATGCAAATTCGAAGACAAGACATCGATTATTTGGATTGTTGGGATGCGAGTATATTTAATAGAATGTTTTAATTTTTTTTTGCATTGTTGTTTTCATGAAGGACATAAAGTCCATCATACTTTGTTGTAATGTTAGCATCATGGTTTCGATGTTGTTTGGTATTTGCCCCTTTGATTGCTGAGGGGTTATTATATTCTGCTCAGAGCATCGAGCTTGTGGGATCGACGACGGATTGTCAAGTCCTGCTTTTAGGGCACTGGTGTATGAGATTGTGGGTATGAAATTAGAGGGCCAAATGAAGATCTGGCTGCTTTCGCAAAAAAAACATCAGGAGTGGCTTGAGATTGTACGTATGCATTTTGTGTATTCTGGGAGCGTACATATTTTGCTTGTTGAAGCCGAGTCTTCAGCTCTTTATAGACTGGGCTTTCTTCAAGGCTCTGCTTTCTGGCTCCAGTTCGACCTTAAAGAGTGGTTGCGGCTTATTATTTCTTTTGATTATGTTGATAATATTTTTTGCGAAAAATCCTTTTTTTTTTAAAGCCTCTATTATCTCAGTGGTGGATACGTTGGGCTCTATGCAGTTGAGCTGATACGTGTAGTAGGGTTTTCTAGTCTCATTCAGGTATTTGGTTACAGCTCGGAATTGATCTTCAGTTTTAGTTTGAAGCTTTGTTTCGTGAATATTCCCTTTGACAAGAGGATTAACATAAAAATTGTCATTCCCGACAAGCGCAACAATTTTCTTTTCTAGGGCAATTGAGTTCTGTTCCCTTATGTAAATTGTTGGGGGCTTTGACTTATTTTGGACAACTTGTCCAGGTTAGGATCGATTATTTTCAACATCCGACAAAAGGGCGAATCTGTGGTTACTAGAAGTCCCTGGTTGTTCGCTGCCTGTATTAGAGAAGATAATATTGGTTTATTTCCAACCATTTTATTTTGCGTGCTACGTTGATTTGTATTTAGCGATCCCTGACAGTCCGTATAGCCGGTCCCGCTTGTTGTTGTTTAAAACTGCCGATATTGGCCCTCGTACTTACAATTTTATGCGGCGCTGCAGAAGTCGACAACGCATTTCATATCGCGTTGTTGGTGACGGAG